GGGGGGGGGGGGGGGGGTAACCAGAAATACCTCAGAACCCTCGCTGAAGTCCTCGGTGACAACGGTCGAGGAGGAGGCGGGCCGAGGCAGTTTGGTCTCGTAGGCCATGACGCTCCACCTGCACACAAAGGCAGCTCCCAGGGGGTTGCTCTACCTCCCAGGGCAGGTCCTGTGCCTCCCCTCTTGTGACCTGGGGACCTGATCTTACAATATTCTAACTTCACCTGTAAGCCCTTTATCTTGCCTTGTGTCCCTAACGTGGCTCCTTACATAGCTGAGGACAAACATCTCATCGACAGGTCACTACGGCTCCACTGACCGAGGGGAAAGCCAGCAGCCAGCTCCTCACTTGCACCAAACACACAGACCCCTCCCTTTAGTGGAGAAGACGTGGGAGGGGAAGCCGAGTGTGAGCGTGATCACCCCCGCTCAGGGCAACCACAGGGTCCTGTGAGAACATGAGCATTTTCAGTGACACTAAGTCACCACAGGCTCTGGTTAGCGGGACTCAGACATGAGCTCAGGACTATAAGCAGTACACCCAAGGAAGCCAAAGGACTGTTAGACACACAGAGACTACACATCTAGTATTCGAGATTCTCCTGGAAACAGGATCTGAGAAAGCCGGATTCCTCAACGATGGGTAAGGAGCACTGTGCTCACAGGTTATCAGATGAGGGCTGCAGTGGCCGAAGGGGACAGAGCCACCTCCTCTAACAGGACCTCTAACAGGTGATCAATCAGGCTTGGCCTCAAGAGAAGACCTATCATTCAGTTCCTAATCCTGGTCAAAACTTAAGAACTTTCAGGAAAAAAAGAATGCCTGCTCAGGTCAAATTTTTTAAACTAATTGCCAAGGGCCTATGGTTTCCAGGGGCCCCGGGTAGAAATACCAGGTCGAGGTGACCTGTTTCTGACCAGCTCCTGCAGTGTGGCACAAGAACACAACCACTCACCTGTCTAGCATCTTGGTGCTGGCTCTTTCCAGCTTCTCCAGGATCTGCGGGAGCTGGGTGTCATCATCACAGGCTGAGCCCCAGCCTAGCACGCGAGCCAGGTCATTCCCCGTGCCAAGGGGCAGCACTCCCAGCTGACACTGGCAGAACATAGTGGAGAAGACATGGCATTGAGCCCCCTCCTCTTTACTGACAACAGTGGCTGAATTTAGTGTGAGACCTGCTCAAAATAGGGTGGCTCTTCCACTCCAGGCAGAGCCATGGGGGAGGGACAGACAGCCTTTCCAATCCCACAGGAAAGGCCTCCCTCTCCCACAGGCCACATCTCACCTGTTGCTCCATCTCGACAAGCCCCTGGGACCTCTCTGATCTATATTTCCCACATCCGTTCTTCCCACTTTCACAGCTAGGGCCACAGTCCTGTCCTGACTGCTGAGAAGAATGACTCTGGGACTCCCGAGCCCGTCTCTCCATCCACTGCATCTGACTCACTGCAACCAGCTCATCCTCTGAAGACATCACTAGTCTCATCTCTCCTCCAAAAACAACCACAATGGCTTCCAAGTCCCATCAGAACTGGCACCAGGACATCCATTCTGATCACCAAACTCAAGAACACCCCAGTGCTCAGCCAACACCCCTCCACCTGCCACTCCCAGAGAGACCCCTGCACTGCTCAGGCCTCAGCCCCCTTTGGAATTTCCACCCCCGAGCTCCACACCACACCAGGTTGGTGCTCAGGAAGCTCCCCAGACACTGGCTGCCGAGACCTCTCTGCCTCCACCTCCGCCATGCAGTGTGTGAGAGAGTCACCAGTCCTTCCTAAGCACTCACAGCCCAGTCGCCTGCCCAGCCATGAGGGGGCCCTGCCACCCTGCTAGGGACAACAAGCTGGAGGGTGAGGACCAGGACACCCGAGCACTAGGTGGAGAGGACCTGGCACTGGCTCCCTGGAGCCTAAAAGAAAAAGCACAAGCAGTGGGGGTGAAAGCACAGAGGTGACAGTGGTGGCCCAGCTGGAGAGGTGACCTCCTGCCAAGTCAGAGCTCTGTCAGAGGAGGGCAGTGAGGAGAAAGTCAGAGGAACAGGGAAGAGGGAGCCAAATTGGGGCCCTGGTAAACTACGTTCTGAAGTCTGTACTTGGTCCTAAGGCCAGGGGCCACCAAGGAACGCGCAGGGGGATTCATGAGCAGAACCGCCCGGGGGAAAGTCCCTGGGGAGGGTGGACAGCAGCACATAGGGAGCGGCCTGGACACTCTGGGGTGGCAGGACAGAGCCCAGCAACTAAGTAGAAATGAGGAGGGAGGGCAAGGGGAGAATCAAGAACAAATATCAAATCTCTGGCTTGGACGCCTGGTGGACGTTAAATTTCAGACTCTGAGGAAAGACAAGTGGGGCGGGCGGGGCTGAGTGGTGGGCTCAGTGCTGGAAGTGCTGGGCTTGGGGTGGGGAGGGGCAGCCAGGAAGACAAGAAACACCAAGGGAAGCGGGGGGAGAGAGGGAGTGATCAGAGGATAAGAGCCACAGAGAGGCCGAAAGAGACAGCACTCGCTGCACTCAGCCAAGTGGATGAAACCTGCCTTCCTCACTGGCGACAATGAGTTTGTAGATCATCCTGGAAGTCAACGCTGACACGGGCCTACGTGTAGCGCTCTAACTTCACCACTAGGGGGCGGCGTTCTCTTTCCCGAGAAGTGGCTCGCTGTCCAGCTTCCATCATCCCAGCACCCGGGGCTAGATGCCACCTAAAGACAGTCCACCCTGCCTACCAGGACCCCAACATTGAGTCAGGTGAAAGAGCTGGAAAAAGTATGTTGAAAGCAAATGATAAACTAGGAAAAAATATGACCGACAAGGAGTCCATATCCCTAGTTTGACAATAATCCCTAGAAATCAATTCTTTAAAAGGTAAATACCCCAACAGAAATCTAGGCAAGAAACATAAAGAGTTAACTCATTTAAAAATTCATGGTTAACTGAGATGTTTGACTTCACCAACATTAATGAAATAAAAATGAAACATACCCTTTATGTCTACTTAGCTTGACAAAAATGAAAGAGATGGAGAGCCGTGGGAAAGAACAGTTTTCTGTAGCATCGGGAAATGAGATTGGTACAGCCCGGAAGGAGAGCACTGTGGCAGCACAGGTCAGTCTAACTGTGGGCACTCTTTGAAAGAGAACGTAACTGGGAAAGCATCTATGTGGTTTTCACCAGGGGTTTCAATGAAGCAACCTGGGCATCCACCAGTGGGGGAGCAAGCTAGCCCAGGGCTGGCAGGGCTCTGCCCAGCAGAAAACCATCTACAGGTCTTCATTTGCCGTGGAGCGAGCAGAGGTGTCACAACACGCTGCTGTGTAAGCGCAGGATTGGAACGGCATGGGTAACATGAGTCCGTTTAAGTCAAAACTGCAAGACGCTACGTGTATGCCGACAGAGAGAGGTCTGAGAGATAGTCACCAATGCTCGCAGCGGGTAATCCTGGCGGGGAACAAGGATGGGGCGCGGGGGGTGGAAAATCAAAGAGCACTTTTTCTTTACAATCAGCAAAATCTATTTTTAATTTAATACAGAAAAGAGTAAGTCCAAGGGACCCTAACTGTGACCTGAAGTTCAAGTCTACTCTTCCTTCCGGGAAAGCAGGAGGCTCGCCAGATCACGTCACTGCCCAACAAGGAGCCGGCGGGGGCACAGCAGGATGGCAGCCCCACCGACCTGCTCCCAACCTCTCCCCAAGCTGAATGTCTTTCTGTAGCTCCCTTTACTTGTTTTTTCTCTTAATCCTCACCTGAGGATATATATTTTATTGACTTTAGAGAGGGGAAGGGAAAGAAAAAGAGAGAGGAACATCAATGAAAGAGAAACACCAATCGGCTGCCCCCTATACGTGCCCTGACGGGATCAAACCTGCCACCTTTTGGTGTCCAGGATGACGCTCCAACCAACTGAGCCACCCGGCCAGGGCCTCCCTTTCCTTCTAACTGTGAAGTTCCTGTTCCTGTGTCATAGCCCCAGGCCTGGGCCTCATGATGCCATCAAGCTACCTCTTCCCTCCCAGATCTTCGCTGCCTGGAACAGTGCTCCAAGGGGACATGGAGTGTCACCCAAGACAGCCCAGCCTCTAACCGTGACATCACCCCCCACCCTTGGGGCTGGCTCCCGCGTTCAGGCACCTGTTTGTGAAGGTTGAGGCTGTCGATTTCAGAGAGGACCCAGCCAACACTGCCGTCCCCACCACACACCAGGATCCGGAATGTATCAAACTTCTGGAATAAGCGTAAGCTGCAGAGAAAAGAGAATGTAATGAAATGAGGTACATTCTAAATGACTCATGATGGCCAGTCAGTCCTGGGCCGGGCCCGTCTGCACTCCTCACACTCACCCACAGATTCTGCGCCCACTCCTCACTCACCTGACCCCCACACTCAACCAGCACCCACACACACAGCTGAGGAGCCCAAGCAGCACGATTCTGCCTACACTTTACCTCCCACTGGGCCACTGAGTCCTCCCGGGTGATGTGACCCATCCCTCCTCCCCTCCTAACCCACCTCTCTCTCCTTCCTATGCTCCTTGAGGTCACCCTGCCCTCGCATGCAGTGTCCCCTCAGGACACCCAGCTGCCTCCTCTGCTCACTCCTCACCGCTCCCTAAGTGACCTCATCCATGTCTTGGCTTCGAAGACCACACATGCTGATGACCCTGAGTGACCTGAATGACCCTGAACCATGACCTCCAGGCTTTCCTGAAGGACAACACTTGCACTTGTCTACCAAACAAGCCACTTGGTGTCCTAGGTTCCCTTCCTAGGAAAATGGCAGAGCCATCATCAAACCAGCCACCGGGCCAGACCCCACTGTCCCAGCCACCGTCACTTCTCTCATGATCACTGCAAGAGCCTTCTCCCCACCTCACGTCTCCTGCCAACACCTCCAGCTGCTACCAGTGTTAACTTCCCAGACAAGTCTCATCCAGTGTCTCACTTGAGAAGCTGCCACTTGTTTCCAGAAAAGGTTCGAACCTCTTGGCCAACACCCACGACCCTCCCTGCCAGAAGCTGCTGCTCCCCTGGCCCCCCACTATCTTCTCACCTCTTGGCACACATGGCACCCTCTGCCCAGCAGGCTCCAAACCTCCCTCCCTGGCAGGATGCCAACTTCCTTAAAAGCTGGTTCAAGGAGAAACTGAGAAACCCCCAATTTGATTTATAAGCCCTTTCTCTGGTTCCCACAGAATCCGCACATTTCCCATCATTGTGACACTCTGTCCTGTGACCCTGACTGTCTGTTCATGTGCTGCACCCCCTGTAGGCAGGGGTCCTGCCTTTCTAGGCCTTGCATCCAGCAGAATCTGAGCAGATGAAGTCCTGGGAAGACCAATGGGACTGAGGGACGCATAGGACTCAGGGACTAAACAGACTGCTGCTTCCAAATGAGGGAGTTAGTTCAAACGGCAAAGTTTACAGAAGCAAATGTTTCCTACAAACCTATGAAATGTACAAAACTAGAAAGGACACCTATCAGCTCTCCAGCCAGCTGACAGTCAGGCCCTCGCACACCTGCACATGTCACTGTACCCGCGAGGTGAGCAGCCTTTTTTCTGGCCTCCCTGGGGGAAAGCCTCCTCAATACTAAGCAGCCACCAAAAACAATGGGGCAGGTCTATAACCACTGACATAAGAAAACGCCCGTGCTCCTACATGCAGACACCCAAACAGTGTGTGTGCTGGTAACACAGCACCACATGCAACTCAAAAGTGTGTGTGCACACCTGGAACACACATCTGAAAACCGGAAGGACCGAACTCTAAACTGTTGAGAGAGTACCTCTGCGAGTGGAATCTGGGAAGGGGGGTGGGTTAAGAAACATAGCCTTTATTTCCTATTTAAAAATGTATCTTTGAATCTTTTAAACTCTCAGAAAGATCTACTTTATGAGCTTACCCAAGGTGTGGCCCTCCATTCATGAGGTCAAAGACCTGGGCAGGGTTCAGCAACTGTTTGAATCTTCTGAGGAATTTCACGCCCTGGTTATCCCCACTTTTTGAATTGACGAAGACCAACAAGGGGCTTGTGCAGGATGGAGGACATGTGGCCTTCCAGAAGCCTGATTGAGAACAGAACAGGAAAGAGGAAGGTTGAAAGCCATGTACCTGATCGCATAGGAAGTAATTGTCTGAGGGCCCTGTAACTTACACAGAACCAGCAAGATATAATAAGCGTATGTCCACGTGGCCGTTCCCCATACAGAAGAAAGCGAGTGCCCATCCAGTCTGGCCTCACATTTACAAGAACTCTGAATTTCAGAAAGATCAGGCACCTCACTGCTCTGTCTTTTGCTCTCGCTCTAAAACTGAAGAGCTGACTTCCTCCAAGACATGGGCCACACTTTCCCGCCTACAACCACACTTACTAATACACATCAAACAGGCTCTGGACCAGTGTGAGTAGCATGGAGCCATGTGCTATTTAAAACCTATCACTAGATGGACACCAGCTGAGGGAGCACATGACCTCAATGGCTCAAGTCAGAGATGGACAAGAGTCTTCGACTTGGTTTCTACTCACAGCCAACCAGATCCATCCCCTTTAACTAAGGCACCAGCCTTAAGTCCTCAGCCTGCCCAGTGGCCACCAGGACACCATTTACCACCTTTGTACCTAAGTCCTTTCCCCTGATGGCTGGGCCTGACCTCTTTCTGATCACATCTCAAAATCGCCAATAGGCCATTCTAGAGTGGGAAGGAGAATGCAGGAGGGAGAGCTGGAGGAATGGGAGAGGCCAGGAAAGCACCTGGTACCCACCGTCGGAATCGATGCTGTTGAGAGCTGTGGGAGGGATGACCGACACTTTACACAGGCCCAGCGGGCACTTGGTCACTAAGGATTCCTTACACGCCGTGTGCACCTGGAACAAGAATCCATGCATCACGAGGGTCACAGCCTCCTTCATACTCGGCCTGCAGCTGTGGGAGGAATGGGTGGACCTGCTGTCCCCATTGGGGAGCTGATGGGACTCAGGAGAGGGTCACGCACTCACCATGGCCTTGCACCACAGGCAGCGCCAGTCCTGTAGGCGCAGCACGCTGCCACAGGTCTTGTCACACACTGTGCACTTGGCGCTCACTGGCAGGTTCCCCTCCAGCCACTGGTGAGGCATCGCAATCTGCAGGCCAAGCAGAGACACGCACTTAGGATGTGTCCCAGGGCCTACACATGGGCACGGAAGACCTGGAGTAAAGATGCTCCAAAATGACCTCCACCAAGACCTTTTTCTTAACACAGGCCAAGGGAGGACAGGGCTGTCCCAATCATGCTCCTGCCCGAGCACTGCCCGACTCACAGGGACCGGACAGAGCTCGGAGGCGCAGAAGCCCACATGGAGCCCCAAAATGTACAGTGGGAACAACTCAGACCCACGAGGGAGAGGAGGGAGGGAGAGGAGGGAGGG